TATCATGCAGTTTTTTGTTCATGTTTTTATATTATTGACTGTTATTGTAACAATATTTATATGCGAAAGTTTGTAGTTCAGCCGTTGTTAATACGGAACGTACGGCTATATATTGTGTTAAAAATATTTTGACTTTGTTGTTTCTGATGACATTTTTGTTGACTCTCGACTTTTTGCTGTCGACTCTCGACTTTTTACTCTCGACTCTCGACTTTTTACTCTCGACTCTCGACTTTTACTCTCGACTCTCGACCTTTACTCTCGACTCTCGACCCTCGACTTTTAGATACACTCGATACCAACGTAGGCTTCAGTCCATTTTACTATATAGGCCAGTGACGTGTCGCCCGTATTGAAATCTCAGCGGATTCATAATTATTTACATTATACTCTAGCGCAAATGTCACAAAAAGGCAACGGCAACAAAGCAAAATTTTAATCACTATTTTTCATTATTTTACAATCGAGTTCATCCAATTTTTCTCCTTCATTTAAAGGTAAATACTTCAATTTTTGTCAATATTCAAGTTTCATAGAATTTACAGTTTGCTGCTGCATAAGGCTTTATTAATTACAGTAAGACATCTAAAAATATCATTAGTAATTAATTGTTTAAATAGTCTAATAAGTATCAGTGACAGTGTTTTTCTTTGTTAAGAACATTTAGTGTTCGTTTGTTTGCATGTTTTCTCTTGATAACTTTATTAATACTATAAGTTGGTTGCTTTCTTGATGTACGAACTGCCGAAGTTCATGCTGCAGTTTTAGCTGAGCATGATCCAACTTTAGGTTGTTGGCAGGTATTTTCCGCGGGTGACGGGTAGTAGGTGACGGGTGATGGGTAGCGTGTGCGTAGCGGGTGGCGGTGGTTCTCGTAATTCATATGTTGAACACATAGAATAATTTACGCAACCTCGTTCCCAGGGCTTTCGTGCGAGGCGGAGAGACGAGAAAGCCCTGGTCTGGGCTGGTCACGTGACTACCAAAATATGGATATATTTGACAGCTACTCGTCAAGGAGTGGCGAGATATTCTTAACTGGAAATTATATACAAGTCTTCGAAACAAATAAACAGTGTAGCGAAGTTTGGCACAAATACCAATATTTCTGGAGATTTTCAACCACAGTGACAGGCAAAGCCAAAGGCACAACTACTGTATCTGAACATGATTTCCAAGCTGCATCTAGGTGTCTCCAAGTGGTGATTCACACAAAATTTGGTTTCTCTCGTCTTTAACAACATGGCTATTGCCTTTAATATTTGGTTTAAATATTATTATTTATTATTGTCTTTATTAGGGTCCACTACAGTATATGTACAAAGTCTAATTATAAAGTCAATTATTCGGAGACCCTAAATGGGCGAGGCGCAAACAGGACTCGAAGAACCATGCAAGGCACCTTCCCAAATTAAGTAAAAATTTACTGTTCTAATTGAAAATCTATACTGTTCCAGTAAACCTCAGAGGTGCATGTGCCTCATAAAAATCGAGGGTTAGTAAATCCCCCAGTTGCTTCCCACAATGCATTGTATTCCTATTTAGTGAACAAACTGCGGGAAACAACTGGTACAAATCGTAAAATGCACCCACTCAAGGTTTACAATGTATTATGCTGTGTTATGTTTATATCATATATTATATAATGGTATTATTAAGTTAAACGTTTATTATTACATATTATAATATAGCATTTGTAAATTCTGAACGCTGATTGGCTAAGAGCCGTGTTGATATAACTCCATGTCAACACGGGAAATATTCCGCCACTTGTAACACGGAAATTGTTCTATTCTTCGGGCTTTTGACATTGCTATATTATAAAACAAATATAAAACATTTTTTCCGTATTGATATATAGTTTTATAATATAGCATTTGTAAATTCTGAACGCTGATTGGCTAAGAGCCGTGTTGATATAACTCAATGTCAACACGGGAAATTTCCCGCCGCTCGTAAACACGGAACTTTTTCTCATCCTTCGGGCTTTTGACATTGCTATATTATAAAAAAAATATAAAACATTTGTCCGTATTGATATATAGTTATATCAACACTCGTGGAAGTTGGGAAAACTCGAAATTGTGTGAAAACACTCCGCCCTTCGGGCGTCGTGTTTCCATACAATTTCTCGTTTTCCCAATTCCACTCGTGTTGATATAACTGTATATCAACATGGAAAATGTTTTATATTTGTTAAATGTTAATATATAAACAGTTAGGACCTGTGGCAAGGACAGTCCCAAGTCAAAGACCATGTGCAAGACTTGTCTGCGTCGTAAATAGATCTAACTAAGATTGAATATTTATGCTTGAGATAACATTTAAAAGAACTAGGTCTAGAGAAACTGTCAAGAGATACTTCTTGAGATACAGTGTTCCAGATATTGACAATTAATTATATTGACAAATAATTATGCTCTTAGGTCTGACTTAGTTAAGCTGATATAAATAAACACAAATATAAAACCTGTATATACAGGAATATACAGTTCGCTTCGATCGTCGGACACCAATGCTTGCATACAAATTTTATCCCTTTCACAATCTTTGTTTTATTTTATCGTATAGTCGCAATTTTCAAGTATTCAGGGTATTCTGAAACTGGAAAACTCGGTGGCATGACAAATCTTGTAGAGATTACATCGGCCTAGGTGTAGAGCTATTAAGTAAACCAGGCCTAAATTAATTTAATAGTTTCATTTAATTGTTTGTCTTTTCATTTAATTGCTTTTATTTGTGTCGATCAGTATAGAATATTGTAAATTAAAATATTACTACAATGCAATACGCATAGTATTTCATCCGACATCTGCACTACATTATAAATACTGAAAACTACACAGTAGTCTACCGACTATAAAGTAGACGTTTCTTGTTTTTCCAGGAAACGTCACAGCTCACATCAACATAGCTTTTGAGTTTTGTAACCGGCTGAGCCGAAAGTAGCTAAATCATGCAGTCGGGAAAACCGAAAACTACTTTGAAAGATTATTTTGCAAAATACACTCGTACACACAAGAATCATAAAAATATATATGTTGAAATTGTTATTGTCAACTGTCAAGTTCAGCTATTTTTAGACAATATGGTGTTAGCCAATCACAATGCAAAATTGACCGGCCCAGACCAGGGCTTTCTCGTCTCTCTGCCTCGCCCTCATACAAAACCCCTGGGAACGAGGTTGCGTAAATTATTCTATGTGTTCAACATGTGAATTACGAGAACTACCGCCACCCGCTACGCACGCAATACCCATCACCCGCTACCTGTCACTCGCTACCTGTCACCCGCAGAAAATACCTACCGTTAGGTTGTTCGTACATGGAGAAAGTGCCAAATACTGTATTGTCATGTTTATAATGTCACTTTAGACGCTTGTGAGTTGTGTGTCAACATATTTTGACATATTATTCTGTAAATATAATTTAAAGTTAACATAGTTAGAAAATTGCCTAATTAGAAAATTGGGGCTTTCTCGAGGTATGAACAACTGATTGTAGTACTGGTTAATACTTTACATTATGCCCATGATTTCATTTGTTCATACTCCTAGGAAGTACTGAATATAGTCATGTTTAATGTTATTGTTGTGTCTATAGAGTTTAGGAGGACCAGATTGGAAAAAAGATGTAACTTTATCTGTTTATATCCTCAATAAATAAAGTGTTATTATTATTATTACTAGGATTTGTGACTACGACTTACAAGTATACAACGTTATTGAACATTCACAGTTCTCTTATCAACTAATTATGTCTGATCATTGTGAAGACACTGAAGAGATATTTTCAACATCCAACAGCTTGGACTTAGCCAGTGAGGTAAGAAAAGAAAAACCTTATGCATGTGATCTTTGTGGGAAGAGGTGTTCCCAAAAAGGAAACTTAACTAGACATAAACAAACACATGAGAAACCTTTGTTTGAGTGTGATATTTGCAAGAAGACGTTTCCTCGATTAGATCGTTTAAACATACATACAAGATCACACACTGGCGAAAAACCTTACGAATGTGATGTTTGCAACAAGAGATTTTCCAACTCAGCTAATATTGTAAGACATAAAAGAGTACACACAGGAGAGAAACCCTATGAATGCGACGTTTGTAAGAAGAGATTTTCTCAGGCAACTGATTTGGGGAGACATAAACAAACACACACTGGGGAGAAACCTTACGAATGTGATATTTGCAAGAAGAAGTTTGCCCAGGCTGGCTACTTAGTAATACATACTAGAATACACACTGGAGACAAACCTTATGAATGTGATGTTTGTACCAAGAAATTTTCCCACTCAACTAAGTTAGCACAACATAAACGAATTCATACTGGAGACAATCGTTTATATGAATGTGACCTCTGCAACAAGAGGTTTTGTACATCAGGAAATTTAGAAACACATAAAAGAGCGCACCCTGAGGGCCAACCTTATGAATGTGATGTTTGTAAGAAGAGATGTTCTTCTTCGCACAATTTAGCAAGACATAGAAGAACACATACTGGGGAACAACCTTACGAATGTGATGTTTGCAGTAAGAGATTTTCTCAACCGAGCAATTTAGTAAGACATAAAAAAACACACACCGGAGAGAAACCCTATGAATGTGATGTTTGTTACAAGAGATTTTCTCAGGCAACTGATTTGGTGAGGCATAAACGAATTCACACTGGGGAGAAACCCTATGAATGTGATGTTTGCAAAAAGAAATTTTGTCACCCAGCAAGCTTAACAAAGCATGAAAGAACACACACTGGGGTCCAATGTTATGAATGTGAAGTTTGTACAAAGAAATTTTCCCAGCCAGGAAACTTAGCAAAACATATAAAAAACAAGCATTGCTTTGAATGTAATGTTTGCAAGGAGAAGTTTTCTCAATCAGCTGATTTAGTAATGCACGAGGCATTACATTTGACAACACAAATTATATCTGAGGATTCTACGGAGCTGTTTTCAACATCAAGCAACTTTGACTTTGCACAAAATCAAGGAACACCCAATGCTTATGAATGTAATATTTGCAAAGAGAAATTTTGTCAGTTAAGTGATTTAGAAACACATAAGGCATTACATTTAACAACACAAATTGTATCTGATGATTGTGTGGAGATGTTTTCAGCATCGAGCAACTTTGACTTTGCACAAAATGAAGGAACACCCAATGCTTATGAATGTGACATTTGCAAGGAAAAGTTTTGTCATTTAAATGATTTAGAAACACATAAAACATTACATTTAACAACATCAATTACATCTAACAATTGTGCAGAGTCGTTTTTGACATCCAGCAACCAAGACTTTGCACAAGAAGGAACACACAATTCTTATGAATGTGATGCTTGCAAGATGACGTTTTCCCAATCAGAACATTTAGAGAATCATAAGAGAACACACACTGTAGACAAGCCTTATGGAAGTGATGTTTGCAATGAAAGATGTTCTCAGTCAGCCGATTTAGGAACACATGAAACATCGCATTTAACAACAGAAAGTCAGCCTGACCTTTGTGAAGATATGTTTTCAACTGAGAGCAGCTTGGACTCAACAAGAGAAGAAACAGTATACAAACCTTTTGAATGCGATGATTGCAAGATGAAATTTTCCCAGTTAGAAAATTTGGAGAAACATAAGAGAACACACACTGTAGACAAACCTTATGAATGTGATCTTTGTGGGAAGAGGTGTTCCAAAAAAGGAAACTTAACTAGACATAAACAAACACATGAGAAACCTTTGTTTGAGTGTGATATTTGCAAGAAGACGTTTCCTCGATTAGATCGTTTAAACATACATACAAGATCACACACTGGCGAAAAACCTTACGAATGTGATGTTTGCAACAAGAGATTTTCCAACCCAGCTAATATAGCAAGACATAAAAGAGTACACACAGGAGAGAAACCCTATGAATGCGACGTTTGTAAGAGGAGATTTTCTCAGGCAACTGATTTGGGGAGACATAAACAAACACACACTGGGGAGAAACCTTACGAATGCGATATTTGCAAGAAAAAGTTTGCCCAGGCTGGCTACTTAGTAATACATACTAGAATACACACTGGAGACAAACCTTATGAATGTGATGTTTGTACCAAGAAATTTTCCCACTCAACTAAGTTAGCACAACATAAACGAATTCACACTGGAGACAATCGTTTATATGAATGTGACCTCTGCAACAAGAGGTTTTGTACATCAGGAAATTTAGAAACACATAAAAGAGCGCACCCTGAGGGCCAACCTTATGAATGTGATGTTTGTAAGAAGAGATGTTCTTCTTCACACAATTTAACAATACATAGAAGAACACATACCGGGGAACAACCTTACGAATGTGATGTTTGCAGTAAGAGATTTTCTCAACCGAGCAATTTGGTAAGACATAAAAAAACACACACCGGAGAGAAACCCTATGAATGTGATGTTTGTTACAAGGGATTTTCTCAGGCAACTGATTTGGTGAGGCATAAACGAATTCACACTGGGGAGAAACCCTATGAATGTGATGTATGCCAAAAGAAATTTTGTCACCCAGCAAGCTTACCAAAACACAAAAGAACACACACTGGAGACAAACATGAATGTGAGTTTGTACAAAGAAATTTTCCCGGCCAGGAAACTTGGCAAGTTATAACCTGATGATTCTGCAGAGTTGTTGTCAGTATCAAGTAACTTTGACTTTTACAAGCAATAGGCAATTCCAGCATTTAGTTTATGCGTGCAGGGGATGATGGGAAGTAAGGTATCATATTACTGATTATGCGGAAAAAGTAAAAATGGCGGCCGTGTAAACACGGAGTGATAGCTTATACTTGTAAATATTGAAATATTTCGGTTGTTTCGGCGGTTTTTATTAATTTGTTTCAGCATAATCAACAATATGATACCTTACTTCCCGTCACCCCCTGCGCGCAGAAATCAAAAGCTGGAATTGCCTATTGGACCATGCACAAGAGGATGGAACACATATTGTAAGACATGAAACAATACACACTCTATGAATGTTACGTTTTTGTGAGGCAACTGATTTGAGGAGGCATAAACGAACACACACTGGGGACAGACGTTATGAACGAGATATTCGCAAAAGGAACTTTGCCTGCTCTAGCAACTTAGTAATGCATAGGAGAATACATATACTGGTGACCAACCTATATGAATGTGAAATGAGATTTTTTCAATCAAGCAATTTAGTGAGACATAAACGAGCACACACTAAGAGATTTTCTCAATCAGATGCAGGGCGGCCGAGAGGTTGCGCGGGCCCAAGCAAAACTTTCCCAGAGGCCCCTATGACGTCATAAGGAAGCGGTTCTTTTTACAATATATTGCTTTGATTCATATTATCCGGCACTAACTCAGTTAAGCGATCTTGTATCAAGTAATTTTAGGGGATCCGGGCGAAAGTTCCTGCCACACTCTCTCGGCGACCCTGATCAGATGAATGAGCGAGTCATAAGAAAACACACAGCGAAGCACGTCCATGTGGGAAGTGATTTTTGCAAGAAGTTATTGTAACTATCAACGCATGAAGCGACGTATTTTCAACACACTAGAGGCAACTAAGCAATAAATTATATATACGAAATGTTTTGTTATCAAAAAGACGTACTCCTTTTAAGGAGCTTTGTAACAATTTAAGATTATAAATGTTCACGGAGTGTTCTTCTTTTGACGTTTAAATCTGTATTAAAATATTGGTTGTCAGTATTACATAAATATAAAGTAAAACACACTCCGAAAAACAATAGCTGAAGATATGAAAACAAGACCGCAACAAAATACAAGGCTGTCTTGTTTCAGTAGCTTTGTTTTATCTTGAGCTTGCGAGATGAGCAATCATCCTACTCCTATGGCAACCCTATAGCCCGTTTTCCACTTCGCTCGTATCACAGCAAAATTTTCACAGCCCGTATCGTACCGTAACGTACTGGTGAGCATGCGCAGCTTGAAAATGGGTTTTCAAATTTACGTAATTCCGGTAAAATTCTGGTCGATTCGTTTATCAAAATAAAAACTTCGTCGCAAGTCAAATTTTTAGCGTACTGCGGAAGTATTAACCAATCAGCATTCACTAAATTTTGAAATTTAAAATTTGTTTTGATACGTGTCGGTACGATACGCTTGAAGTGGAAAACGGCCTTGAACCTATTCCTGGCTATGCGTAACATTTTGTGCATGATTTAAGCCCGTTCTCCACTAGGCGAATTTTTTCGCGCGAAGCGAAAAACAAATCCTGGCAATGTGATTGGTCAGCGAAAAAATTCCCCGCGAAAAAGTTGGATCAATTCCTACTTCTTTACTGTTCACGCGAACAAATTCGCCTAGTGGAGAACGTGTTTTATTGCAAGGAGACTTGCATCGAAATGCCTTTGTATCGAAAATGCCTTTGAATGATTTTCAGGCACACATATACAGCCCAATGAGGCACAAATACAGCCCAATGAGGCACAAATTCAGCCCAATGAGGTACAAATACAGCCCATTGAGGCACAAATACAGCCCAATGAGGCACAAATACAGCCCAATGAGGTACAAATACAGCCCAATGAGGCACAAATTCAACCCAATGAGGCACAAATTCAGCCCAATGAGGTACAAATTCAACCCAATGAGGCACAAATTCAGCCCAATGAGGCACAAATTCAGCCCATTGAGGCACAAATACAGCCCAATGAGGCATAAATACAGCCCGATGAGGCACAAATACATAAAATGGCCAGTTTTGATTGTAAATACTGTATGTCCCCGATGATGGGGGACTTGGACGACATTTTCTATTTCGGTAGACGATGCGGGGACTAAAGCGGGGGAATGATTGTGGTTAACATATATATCCTGTGTTGCTGTTTTAGTCTTCTTTACAAGAAAAGTTTAAATACAATAACATAAATGAATTTGATTTTCTATTGCTAAACTATGAAATATACAAAACTATTTTCCCAGGGTTGGGAGACATGCGGAGACATTGATTAATTACCCTTTCCCCGGGGGCGGGGACAATTTCGCTCTTTTACTACCCCTTTAAGTCAAAATCCCCGGTTTGCATTGACTGGTGCATTACCTGTGGTCCACTGAAAAACGGGCTTGAGCAGTTTAGAGCGCCAATAAACACATAAACGAGCATTGTTTCCCTCGCGATTGTAAAGAGTTCGTGGCCCTGATGAATACTTCCACGAGCAACTAAAGACTTAAAAGACATAATTTATACTTAACAAACGACTAAACTTAAGGTGGCTCCCTACAGTTTTCTAAAATTTTAAGTATTTTACCAGGTGATCTTGATACGCGGAAAAGTACTGGCACTAGTTGTCAAATAGAAATCCATTTTGTGATTAAAACAACTGAATATCTCCTGTAATATACTTTATTTCGATTCCATATTTTTGTCAGAGCTATAGTTCTCATAACCAAACATAATTACAAAATTTCAACTAATTTCACAAAGAATAACGAAAGATATAATTGAATGAACACATCAAAATGGATTTCTATTTGGACAACCCTTTCTGAGCGCTGATTGGCTAAAATACGAACACGAGATCACCTGGCCTAGGTAGCCTTCGTTTTGAACCAAATCTATATTGAAAACACTTAAGACAGGGCAATATAATCATTTCCAGGAAAGTTCAGAAGTCTTCTGCTGTCGATATATGAACAAATAGGAACAGTGTTAGTGTTGCCATGGCAACCATGACGTTTCATCTTTTGCACTTTTATGTATCGATCAATTCGAAACTTCGCCATCCCCCCCCCGGGCTGACCCCGGGAATTTGAACTTTTTGAAATTTGACTGATCAAATTCTCCACCCTCTGTGCAAAAAATGTCTTCAAATGCCCCACTGTAACAAGAAATTAAGCGTTCAAATGCCCCACCTTCATATGAAAATTATGAAACAGTAAATACAAAAAGTACAAAATATACGGAAATGTTTTCGACAAGATAGCGAAATTCGCGTAAACAGTTTGGATACCTTGTGGAAATTTAACAGTTTTACACAGTTATGTAGTACATACCTTCAAATGAAACACATAGATTTTCCATGCCCGTTTCTTTGAGCCAGTTTTTTCACAAAACTGAGGCCGTTTCCCTCGAAATCTGAGAAAACTGTATTTGCCGCCAATACGAAGTATTTTCTGTACATGCAGGAAGCACGCGAAAACGGGCAACATTTTAAGACTTCCGGTTCAAATTCCCCACCCCGTTATCAAATGCCCCACCACATGGAAGACTTAGAACGTCAAATTCCCTACTCCCTGGAGACGACTTGAAGTCAAATTCCCGGGGGGGGGATGGTGAAGTTTCGAATTGATCGATACATTATTGTCTAATTTTACAATCAAACGGCAATATCTTTTTTTCCTTCGGTCAATTTTTCTGAATTTTTTTTTTAAGATTTATGGTTGAAAGGGGAATGACATATTAAAATTTGAAGAGATGTTTATAAGGCCGGTTTTGAGATATTCATGAATAACGACTACAAAAAATCTGTCTTATAGAATTTCTTGAAATTTTGATATGTTTGGCGAATCGTCATGCTTAGCAAACGTGCAAAGTTTAAAAAACTTTCACCGAAGGAAACGCGAGAAAAATAGGCCTAAATCCAGTTGAAGCTGTTGACGTGACAAAATATCGATTCGACATGATCACTATTTGCGTGGGGAACACGAAACGCGTACGGTTTATAGTTGGCTTTTTTAGCAATTTTCTCTTTGAGTTTTTGGCTTATATGTATCACACAGATATTTTTTACTTATTTGAAATGAAAATAAAAGATATATGTATTAAAAATACGAAACATTGAGAACACAATAACGCACTGACTTAATCCAACGTTTCTTAAATTTAGTTTTGTTATGAAAATCGGTGTGAAAACTTTTCAAAACATTCAAGTAGAGTTTGACTTTTCGTATAAAACAACTCGTAACTGTCTGCATTATAATTTTATTGGATTCAGCAGATAAAAAACTACATGTGAACTGAGTTGAATAACAGGGTTTACGTAAGTTTCAGTGACAATTCAGGAGTGCCTTCAAGACAGTATAAAATATAATTTCAGTCCGTGACACTGTTGTTGAACATTGTGAACATTATGAAATACAGTACTGAACGTATTAAATATATAAAAAAAAAAACACGCTGAATGTAGGTAAAAACTAGCTAACAACATACGTACTGTTCGAATGTTGAAAAGTTTAGGATTATAATAAAAAACTGGCGTTTTCTTTGTAGATATTAAAAATACAAAAACAACTTCCCCCGGCTTGTTTAATTGTTTCACAGAGTAGATAAGACATACAGAGACGTAACTGACCGTTGTAAACACTGCGGAAGATTACGTTATCATGTACCCACTTTTTTTCAGGCGACCGGGCGAAAAATGATCAACTGCGCGTGCTCAGCAAGTTTAAAGTTAGTCGTCATCAGGACGTCATCCAATCAGATGCACGCATCTAGTAACTTGCCGAGCATGCGCACAAAAAAAGTGGGTACACTAGTTACGTCTCTGTATGTCTCTACTCTGTGATTGTTTCAAGATTTTTACCGGGCCACGACGATTCCACGCGCGAGTCGCGAGGATGACGTCTGAGCTATATAAATATTTTAAAGTGGACTATAACTGTAGGGAGCCACCTTAAATGAAGCCGGATAGATACTGATGAAATGAAAATCGAGATTTCACGTCGAATAATTATAACTCGGTCAAAGAAACTGGGCACTACAGTAACACCGTGAAGATTAGTATGCTACCCTTGGCAGCAAATACCAAGATGGCCGACTGCACGTTTTTTGGTCAAAATATTTCGAAAACCAAGCAAGGTACGAAAAAGTTGTAAAAGGTCTTCATAATATATAACTTTAAAAGTTCTTTCAAACAAGACAAAGTTAATTTTTATTGCCATATCCCTTTAACTTACAATAAGCAAAATCCTTTACCAGTCGATAATTTCGCGAAATATGAAGTAAACACCCTCTGAAAAGTAATATCTCTCAAAGCCCCCTCTATTGAAACAAAGGCATGCATGAACTTGTGGTTAGAACATAGTTAGGTTAGAACTAGACAACTGTCTCCCTGTAGCTCAGTTGGTTAGACCGCTGCACCAGAATCGCAGGACCGCAGATTCTACTCTTGCCAGAGGGCCGACACTTTCGCAACTGCTCCTGGTTAGGTCTAATATACAAAAAAATCCACTCGAAATTTTCATCTACAAATCCTTTCAACAATTGAATCAAGTGTTTGTTTGGAGGCAAAAATAAAAAGCTTAGTCCAAAATGAGAGAAAAGATCATGGCATGCGCTAGTCGCCCAGTTAGTGCAGTAGCGCGTTAGTCTCATAATCTAAGCTATTTAAAGTACAGTACGGTACTGTTTAGTTTAATATGAAAATAATTATAGTGAATACAAGACCATCTGAGATTATGAAAAGCCAGTTTCTAGGTAAACCAGTTTCAATCCCATTGTGTCAATAAGCCGACATAAATGTTTTCTTTTAGCAAGTCTTCAGAACACCAGTATGAGTGCATAATCACTGTTTATTGTCCAAGCAACTAAAAATAAATAAAAATAGTGGTTAGGTTTTGCCTTGTCCTTGATCATAAATTGTGTTGGTTATAATTTTTTTTAGGGGGGAGAGGGGGGGGGGCAACTTAGTAGGGTCTGGGGACATACTCTTCCAGAAGATGGCATTTTGGGTCTGTGAAACGGCATTTTCTGCATTGTGGAGGCACTTGGAGAAAAGTGTAAAGGTCTTAATAAATACCTTTAACATTGCCAAATATTGATTTCAGAATATTTGACAATTTCCCACGCCCGCTGCAATGCTAAGATCCTGATATTTACCCTTAGTAAAACCCACCTATCCGAAAATACTTTAAGACATACTGTATACATTCAGGTTGTAATATACATGCACATAAGGATAACAATAATACATGGAATCACGCAAAACTTGACCCTACCACACAAATTTCAAAAAGCAAACTTACTTGGGATAATCTAATTCATTTAACACCTTCTTAAGTTTTGCTATCGTTGTATTGTCACTTGACGAGTAAATCTTGTGTAACTTCAACAAGAACTCTCTGATATTCAGTTCTGTTAGTTGGGTATCTGCGTCCGACAGTCCTGACTTGCAAAAATGCCGAGATACGAATTCGTGAAAACTTTTCAAAAATGGTTCTAGAGTTTCAATGTCTTGTGCCGATTCCGTTTTTTCGTCTTCCAGCTTGCCAATGGCTGTGTTTAAATTGTCAATATGCTTGCTCAGTATTGCATTTTGTTCTTCAAGTTCTGTTGTTGCTTTGCGAAGTTTGCGTAGTTCAGACTCCCGACCTATAAAATATAATGATTAACTTTAATTGAAGGATATAACTAGCTGAAACGTAGAAAACGATCCTAGATTTTTCGAGCTCATGCCCTTCGTGAAGCAACAGGTTAAATTTAGTACTAGCCTGTTACACTTTTTAGTCAATTTTGACCTGGTTTTGCTTGGACCTACGCCTGCTGGATAAAACTTGAGTGACTCAAAATGAGTAAATTTATTCAAATTTATGAGAAATTTGCTTCTATCACTTTTTGAATAAGGTAAATCTTTACTAAAAAATTGAGTATATTTGGAACTTTACTCAAAATATTGAGTAAATTTGCCCACAAATTTTACCTCTACTTACTTTTGTTATAATGCAGGAATGCATCGGAAAATACAGGGACGTTTAAATCTCCTTCAGAAACCGCAGACATATCTGGAAAGTTGTTCACTTGGGTGGCACTTTTACTGGCCGGAATTCCTGGAGGAAAAAATAGAGGGCACATTGGGTTTTTGGCACTTAGCAACAATAATGCCGGCAGGTCAACATCTCGTGGGTGGTCGGAAGTTCCATTATCTTTTCATTGTTTTATAATTATCACTCATTTAGTGAGACCAGGGTGAGACCAAGGGAAACAGCGTGTTTTGTGGCCCCGAGAACGCCGTTGCTGCCCATGGGTCGAGGGGCCACAATACGCTGTTTTCCCGAGGTCTCAGTAAATAAGTGCTTTGCTATACAGCAAGTCTCAAAGTCTCAATAATTCCCCTGCTATTCCGAAACTGTAATAAAACCGTCCGACAGACATGCTGAAACTCTTGAAAAAACCTTGTTTTGAAATTTGAATCATTATATTAACTATGGCTGGTTGACGCGAACAACTCGCGTCCCACTTCCGGTTTTATTATTGACCGGTCCCTCACCAAAGCATGTAGTGAACATGACGTTGTGTGGACCGGCACGTGATATAGTGGGGCGGATAAGCGCACAATTTTGCAATAATTGTGCAGTTAGTATAGGTAATGGCATGGTTTTGAGTGCAATTTGGATATAACATGCACGAGTGAGTTTTTCAAAGACCTCAAAATACAGTAGCACGAGTGCTATTTGAGGTCTTTGAAAAACTCACGAGTGCATGTTTAACCATATTTTACGAGAACGCATGCTATTTCTTATTAATAATTTACATAAAAATGTTCGAAGCAATTGTAGTTAACTTACGTTTATAGCGAACCGTCCACTGGCAAAGTTTTCCTGACTTTGTTATATCACATTATACAACGCTACCAGCTTGACAATTCTACTTAACTATGTACGTTTTGTTAGTCTTATTTAAGGTAGAGGCTTTTCCATTTTAAGAGAAAGATAAAAGCCATATTTTCCAACCGAAGTCAACTTTTACTTTATGTAGCGCGGCGCCGTGTTTGTTTTGTTTTGAAGCAATCTGCGACTGTTACTTCTTTAAACTAAACTGCGTTAAATTGATTGGTTGATTTTATCATCACATTGTTTTTCCACCAATCAGATCAGTTTGCTGCAGATTTTTGCACTGTGATTACAGAAAATTGCACTGTGATTACAAAAAATTGCACTGTGATTACAGGAAATTGCACTGTGATTACAGAAAATTGCACTGCTGTTTGCCAAATCAACCAATCACAGTCGAGTAATATTTTTATGTATATTATTAGTATAGGAAATTACACGGTTCGAGAAGTATTAATGAAAAATCGCACGCGTGATTGGCGAAATATTTAGGCACACTTGTGCGTTTAATGTTTAATCGGCACGGTTTTTAACCAATCAGAGTCGAGTAAATTGACTAAAATGATATTAGTGAAGAAAGCATATTCACAGTATGTGTAGACTTCGTCACAAGTATGAATATCAGATATGGAGGAATCTGTGAAATTAATGGTGATAGCTAAAAATTTTATCAGTAAAAGAAATTTATAATAAAATGTCAGAAATTCCAAATGTTTTGCTGTTAGCGTTAATTTCACAGATGCCTCCATATCTGATATCCATACTTGTGTCAAAGTCTACACATCCTGTCAATATGTTGCTTTCTTCACAAAATGCACAATACTTTCACTTATCCGCCCCACTAATACGGTTTTGACCAATCTGCAAACAGGAAAATTGAACTTTGACACTTGCTATGCAATAAATATTACTGTAATTCTCACCAATTGATTTGACCGGAGACCCAGGGTCTACTTATGCCCGCATCGAGCCTTTGCCCCCGGCCTCCCTAAAATTATGGAGGGCTCGGGCAAAGGTTCGATGCAGGCATAAGCAGAGCGTCTTAATGTGATTCGACTAATTTGGCACAAGCGCAAGAGCGACCTCAAGCACAAAAAAATTCATGTGGTATTTCGAAGTATGAATCAAACAATCTTAAATTTTCAATCTTATTACCTCGCTCATATATAGAAAGCCCTGCATATCTTCCTGAACATAATTCATGAAAATTCATATTGGATATGTATACCTTGTGTCGGAGCTTTCCTTTGTGCTACTGTCTCCACAGTATGGTCATCTTGTCTGACAGTCAGAGTAGATTTCTTAGATTTTTTACCACGAGTTTGAGCTTCCAAAATGTTACGTTGGTGTTTGCGACTTTTGACATGCTCTCTGAAGTTGTGTGCGTTCTCAAACCACTTGTTACATGGTATACATATCAAATGACTCCCTGGCTATATAGTTAGAAATAAATGAAACTATGTTATTATACTTATTTTGCATTCATGTACATACACACACACAGTAACTTTCCCACAGACCACACACAAATTATATAGATATAGCAAAAAGTTGAAGACAAAGTCTTTGTTGTTTCCATTCTTCCTTCTGTCACTTTCTTTGATATTCATTTACTTCTCTTTCTTTCACATATTTCATCAGTTCCCTTCAATCTAAATTCATTTGGTTTTTCTTCTTCACTGATTTAACCTTTTTAATTTTTACATGACTGCATCTTTGAAGCTCAGAATAAAGTGTCAGTAATAGAAAATGAACTCACTGATGCTTTCTCTTCTTGCTTGAGAACTGCAAAACGAGATCAAAACATAAGTAGTATCATAAAACATCTGAATTTGTTCATATCGAACAATGTATCTCAATACAGAATTACATTTACCTTTTAGTGTCTTTTCTCGTTCTTGAACAAAACTTTTATAAGAGTCAGTCTTCTGGTACTGCTCTAATTCAGTCATGTATTGTTTCTTATCTCTTTCAGCTTGGTCAAGATAACTCTAAAATTTGATTGAGAGACGATTACCAATTTGACCAAATTTTATTGTCATGGTAGTGATAACAAATATCGTTAGTGTGCTATTTCGTATGTTTGAGTTAAGCCAGCTGCTCTAGGTTGAGAGTAGGGATGGGGTTAGGTTGGGTAACTAATGTACGTGCTGGAAAGCAGGCTGGGGACGGTAAACTGATAAATATAAGTATCCCAAAATAGAAACACCAAAACACCGAGAAAAAACTATGATAGTCGTAACAAGCTCCCAGATAGGCCTATTGCCATTCAATAGTGATATGAAAGGCCTATACGGTGCGTTACGGACAATTAAACTCGATCAGAATCCCAGACGGATTTAGACCAATAACCTACAGCCAATCAAGACCTTGGAAAAAACGCAGGTTTTAACTTCCTCATTCGAGTGTTGAAGCATTTTATAGATGACCATAAATAAACAGCAAAATAGGTCTATTGGCTTGGAGTTATTCCTCGTTGAAAAAAATGATGATGTAATGAAATGCAGCTTCAAATAACGTCTAGATGATGCGGACAAAAAGCTGGATTTGGGGGTTTTATATTTTAGACTTTCTTTGGTCTTCCTCCCTCAGCAAAAACTAACCCTTAGGCATTGTCTAAACCCAATATCTCAATCATAAAACCAAGGCTAAGTCAAGACTAAGCACTTTCCGAAAGGGTGGTGTGTTGGGTGACCAAGCCCTGTGTAATAACTTATCACTTTTTATATACTGTTTGAATTGAAAGTTTTGAATTTCAATTAAGTATATAGATTATCTATATCCATTCAACTACCAGGTTTTTTTTGCTGGATTTTCACAGAGAAGATTAGTTTTACCTAAATTGCTAGGGGTTTGGGAAGGGCTGTACACCCTTAAAGAGGCAGGGTGGTTTTTCTTGTGTTGTTATGAATTGCAAGTGTATGTTTTTCCTTGCTTTGTTGGGATTCTGACAAGAAAAACAAACTTCATTTTTACTGCACTGAAACGCTTGATGAAATAGCTGAATTTCAAAACTCAAGAGTTTTTGGGCAGCATATTTTAAACCTTTTAAGTTAAAAAAAACCTTAAAAGTGTATGCTCACCTGTTTTTTGTCTAATGGCATTTCACTCCACATAGTCCCCAGAACCTTTGTAAGTTCATTAACTGCCACGCCTGGATTTTGAGATCGGACAGCGTCACGATTCTTGCTTAAGAACTGCAGGTACGCACTTAATGGAGGCTTAGGTGCATTCTCATCTCGCCAGAGTAGCTTCTGCTTTCGTTTTCCACTAGTCATGAGGTTGGTTTTGGTAGTTGGTGAACTAGTAGTGGTTGTGCTAGTAGGCTTTGGTGGTGAATTGATACCAGTACCACTATGAGTATCAGCGCCAATGGCAGGGTCAGCAACGATATCTACAGTGGTGTCAGATATGGTACTTTTAGTAGTCGTGGCAGGAATAGTACCAACAACAGTTGTACAGGTACAAAGATTATCAGTAAGTTTATTATTTGGTTATGCGCCCTTTCCGTGAGCACAGTTTTTACTTCCTTAACGTAACTACGATAAAATGAGTTGTCCCTAACTTCTTGTGGTAAACTGTTAAATATGGTAGCTGCAGAATTAAGACATTCTGATTAAGACATGGTATTTTTATGTATATGATACCATTAAGACATGGTATTTTTATGGCAGCTTGATACAGTTTTCAGGATATAATACCATTAAGACATGGTATTTTCATTTTTATGGCGGCTTGATACAGTTTTCAAAAAACTTTAGGTGTATAACAGTTTGTCTTTTTATGCAGCAGATATGTATTAGGATGTTCATACATTTTAATGTTTTTCTTTCCAACGCATGAATAAAAAATTCACTGCAATGGTATATGCAAGTTGCCATAACAGGTCATACTGAAAGGTCTTTTGCTAATATTAATTCCTGCAGACACAAATGATCACACAGTCAGGTTATTCATATGGCATAAAGTTTTGTTTTTCGCAATTCTTGTATGAGGGAATACAGGTATTGTTAGCTGGATTAATATATTGAACCACCTTAAGGTACAACAAGTTTGTGATTTTGTGTACCATTGATCAGTGAATGCTGTACTACACATACTTGTGGTGGTATTAGTAATGGTACCAGGTGCAGCAGTTGATAATTGCTTTTCGTCAACCAAATCACTAGAAAAAATACCATTATAACCATTAACCCATTCTATAACTTCTTGACAAAGGGCCTTTGCTTGAAACATGGAAGTTATCCTTGCATTTTCCCAGTAGTTCAATCCCAATCAATCCAAAGCTTTCTTATCATTAACTGGTAATAACTAGATGTGCACAATCTCATACCCTGCAACTAGTCCAGTAATACTGGGGAAGGAAAAGATAGATATACAGAAATATTTTATATAACATCAAGCTTTCATTTGTATAGTAGGGATGCAACTACCTGAAATATACAAGGGAAAATTTGATGTTTTGAGCAAAGGCCCTTCCTTGGGAAGTTAGCAGTGGGGACGGAAAAATTACATGACTTTTACACTAAAAATATAAAAGTGATCATGTGACAAAAGATAAACCAATCAGATGGATTTAGTATAAACAAAAAATGTAAATCACATTACAGAATATGTTAAATAATACAAAATTAAAATATAGAGTTAGAAAACTACAACAAATACAAAGAAATATATACTGTATGAAACAAGTATGGAATAAGGTGAGAATTAAAAGTATTGTCAATGTCTGTTTTAAACAGGCAAAGACAGATAGAGTTAAACATGGGAAAAAGTTCATTCATGTCATAGGGGTGGATCGTGTCAAGCTTGGAGATGAAGAACATTTCATGTATTTTGCAGCTATCGTTGCTTCCAGATTCGAAATGGGGGAAAGAGGGCTTGAATTTCGATGGAATCTTTGAGACACTGTGATTGCCAGTATTAAAATGTCTGGCAACAGGCTGGTTCATCATTGCCAATGACTGCATGCCGATGCTCACCAAACCTTGTCCTGAAAGATCTTCCAGTTTCCCTGATTGCATGAGATGCAGTAGGTAAGATGGGAGGAGGCACACATGAAATGGTGCTTAATTGATATGGTATTGAGATTCTGGTGCCAAAATGGTGATATCTCTAACTTTGAGTCCAATAGAGAGGTGGGATAGTCCCGTTGGACAATTTGTGTCTCATTTCCAGAAAACTTCCTCATCTTCACTCAGAGGCACAAATTAGGGGGGGGGGGGGTTAGGGTGTACCCCACTCCCCACTCTAGCACTCAAAAATCACAAAAAGCATACAGGTCTGTAGATTTTATTTTTGTGGAGGTAGCCAATCTTCAAATGGAGCTACAGTAGGCTATGCCACATTCTCATACCCAGAGCCCATCTCACACAGGATCAGAGCATCACATGGCTCGATGGGTGCGAGAATGAGTTGCGCCGCAACTACAGATGATGCTGTGCCACGACAGTCATCTATGTACCCACCAAGGTAATCAGGGATGGGATCAGACTAGTGTATTGTTCGAAGATTTGTTTTTCCACAAAGCCAACAAACAAATTAGCATAGTTGGGACCATTTTGGTTCCCATGGCTACACCACTTATTTGTTGGTAATGCTCACCATCAAAAGAAAAATTATTGAGGGTGAGCACCAACTCAGCCAATCAAACCAAAACAGCAGTAAATGGTCCCTGGTTGGGGCACTTATCTAGAAAGAATTTGAGGGCGCTTAAACCATCAAGAGAAAATGAACATGTGAGTGCCATGAAATTGAATGTTCTGAAAAATTTGGAGAGCTTGTTTGGTATCCTTGATATAGGATGGTAAGTCCTCAACCAAGGGTGCCATGACACAATCAAGAAAACTGGAGATGAGTTGGGTGGGACAACCACAAGCAGAGACAATGGGTCTATGGTTGTCAGGTTTGTGAATTTTGGGCAAAAAGTACATGACAGGTGTGTAAGGTCCATAGTGGAAAGTTGGGCACTTTAATGGGAGATCTCCCGCGGCAGGCAAAGGTAAAAAACTGCTGATGCGGCAAAATCTTGCGGCAGAAAAACTGTAAAATTGATAGTGCGGCAGAAATTGTTCAGAAAATACCTGCGGCACAATTTGGGTGACATGCCAGTGGTGTGTTGTATCAACACATCTTAAGATGTATTAATTATTCGACAAAAAAGCTGTGTTGTAGTCGAGTGTAGTCGTTTAAATTTTTCACCTGCGGCAGCATATTATTGGCATTGCGGCAGGTTATAATACATGGTCTTGTCAACTGCGGCAGTCTCCTGCGGCAGCCAAAGCGTACTTTCCACTATGGTGTAAGGTGTGGTGGATATGAGGTTTTTGGCATTTTCAGAAAGATCACCAGTGGGGATAATGCTATGAATAGTCTTTTTAACAAGGCCGGCGAGAGGGGGGGGGGGCAAAATACCCGGGGCCCGGAGTACTCAGAGGGTCCCGGAAATATCGGTAAAATGTTTGTATTGTTTATCATGTCGCTTATGTATGTTCTGAATGAAATATGCCTACTTGCACACTATCTGCTGATCATCGTGATCGATCGTAAAACGTACCAAATATGAAATAAACGATTTTTCGATAATTTTTTCTGCAAAAACAGTTAGCCCAACATTGTTTACATCACATCTTTATCAGTTATAAGATGAAATGAGGTAAATTTATTACATCCATATCCTGGTATGGGAACATGCATGTACGCCACATGCATCATCGGCACCAAAATTCTCCAGCGATTTCTTGTAAGTAATTCGCTGGCAATTCCCTTGTTGATTGCGATTAAAAAATACTTTCGTGTGGCCATCAGCGTCAGAGTCAAGAGGGACAGGGGGGGCCCTGGCCGTGTTCACCAATTTGTCCAGGAGCCCGTGGTTGCCCCTCACCGGCCTTACTTTTTAATAGAAATGGTGGTTTAATGAGTGGAGGTCAAATCCCTGTCACCCTGTCAACGCGTGGGCTTCAATACGATATAAATCAGCCCTCCAAACTACTATATATTCACGGAGCTTTAACCTTAATACACATACATTTCCATCGGTGGGTTATCCATTTTACAGCAGCTACTCTGACCTCGTCTGAATAAAATCAAGGCAATATATCTTCGTCGAGTAACTTGAGTTGCGACAAAAAGCACCTTGCTGACTTGCTCGTGAAACGAATTTCTGCGATTTCCTTTTACGTCGTGTAAGGGTCATGTACTGTCTCTCGGCTCAGACCTCTAGCTCGGTTTTTCCAACCGGTCACCTCACAACCTCGTTCCCAGGCTCTTTGCTCAAAGAGCCTGGGAACGAGGTTGTCACCTCATTGTCCTCACAAGCCTTCGTAGCAGACGCTAGTTAGGGGGGAGGGCGAGGGTGGGAAAAGCTGGGGGGGGGGATGCGAAGGCGAGAGAAAGAGAGAGAGGAAAAATGGGAGGGGCAACCCCCCCAGCTTTTCCCACCTTCGCCCTCTCCCCTAAATAGCGTCTGCTACGCAGGCTATGTCCTCACAGGATCAAATTTTGAGAATTATAAGTAACGGATAAAATAGTAGATGGAATTTTCGAACGCAAATTTATATACATTTTTAGACCTAACCAGAAGCAGTGGCAAAAAATGCAACTATAAGCCCTCGAGCAGAAATGGAACATACGACCCCCGTGTAAAGCGCGCGCTCTCACCATCGATCGAGTCAAGGATCGACCTATTTATCGCTCTCATAATCATTTTATTTGCAATTTGTCCAGCAGCCGTTCAAGAGGACTGCTCGAATGAACTATCCGTATATAAATTTCATATTGCAATATGGAGAACGCAAGTCATAGTTCAACTACTTTCAATGGAATGAAACAGAAAACAAAATCATTTGATTTCATGAAATATCCTTTTTTCACAGTTGTTATATTCGGAATTCTTGGCAATACTTTGGTTATCATCTCTATACTAAGACAGAAGTGTTTGTTGAAGAGCAACTACTACTATTGTGTTTTTCAACTTGCAATTTGTGATCTGGGCTTAGTGCTTATAATCTTCTTGGAACTCATTAATCTCTATTTCGCCGCAGACTCGCTATTCCTAAATAATTCCCTCATATACTGTCTTGTCAGTGATATAGTTTTCTTCTTCCAAATCGGAGGGATATGTATGATGTTGATTATTTCAGTGCTTCGTTATCGCGCTACTGCACAACCTTTAAAACCTTCCATCACTCGACGAAAATTGAAAGTTGTTTGTGTTTTTATGTACATTGTTGGGTTGGTAGCAGGATATGGAACATTTATACCGTTATGTTTTATACAGAAACGTACAGCTGCCTCTGTCAAAAGAGTTCTTGATGGCTACCTGATATCCTGTTTCTATTTTTTCCCAACATTATTTATGGCTGTAATTTATTATAGAATATGTCGAGCACTCGTCAAAGAAAGCAAATACCTGAAACGCGTTTGTTCAAATCCATTGACACGAAGTACATCTGCTTCCTCTTTCAAAGTCTTAAGATATTTTCGAAATCGACGAGCTTTTCTTATTTGTTCCATCAGCGTTCTATGTTATGGAGTTGGAAATTTGCCGATTTCTGTATGGTTTATATGGGCCATCGTTGGCGAGGATAATTTACTAATAAATTATCTTTGGTTTTTCTATCTTAGTTTCATTTTAAGGATTGTTGGTACAAGTTCAGTAAACCCTCTCATATACGGAATATTTGACAAAAAATTGCTCGCAATTTGGAAACTTTGCCCCAAGTGGAAAAGAGAAAATGTTAGACCAGTTATTGTATCCAGTTGGAAAATGGACACGCGACTATAGGTTATCACGATGGCGTATTCCAATAAGCGTATTCCAATAAGTGCCAGAGATTTTTCCAGAGAAAAGAAACGGAGTTGTATACGAGCTAATTATAACCTGGGCTTGCAATTTGCTTGAACTTTGGAAACTATAAAGTTGAATAATAATGTTTGACGCGTATCGACGCAGGTTTAAAAACAAGGTATCAAAATGAGATATCTGTCGCAGTATGTCCGACGATATCTGGCGATTCTGGCGAGCAGTGCTCCAACTGAAAGACTTTTTAGCAAAGACAGATACTGTAGTTACGGCAAAGCGAGTATACCTCAAGCCAAGTCAGGCAAACATGTTAGTGTTTCTCGCAGAAAATTTATAAACATTATATTAATACATTATATATATACAATATATATATTAAGCAATTGCACTGTGAAACCATTAGGCTTGTTATAAACCGTTAATTGTTAATAAATCTTTGAGACGTACCATGACTGGTTTCATGCACTTTTTACTGTTTGTGATGCGTATACATGCAAGTTGACTAACTTACGTTTTCTCATTTGCATAATTCGATATAGTCGATATTATCGATATTATTTTTTCGATATCGATATATCGATTTTTCAATATCGCAACTGCCTATAAAAGGTTGATATTTTCACCAACCAAACATAAAGAATTTATGTCAATTATATTAAGACTAAACAATTTGGTTATAAATAATGATATTTATTTCATTCCATACCTTGTTCTCTTATAAACTACAGTTATTATTACAACTCATAATGTATCTATGTTTTTTTGCCGGTAATTCGTTCACTTGGTGTCCAAATACAATAACGTTCATAAATATCTAAATATAACTATGTTCATCTATTTACCAACGTAGCTGCCAAAGGCCCCATAAAAATTTTAAGAATCCGTTATTATCCATTAAGTTAAAGGAAACACCCATCCCCTGACCCACTTATGGTCAATGAAAACAGCAAGGGGACAGCGACGTTTCGCAGACACCGAGGGGCAAATCACTCCTAGAAAGTGTACAGGACATTTGGACTTTTAAAAGTCCAGTTGTTCTGTGGTTGGACTAAAATTGTGGTTAAAATTTTTTAATATTTTCTTATTGTTTTTAATGTTCTGGTGAAAGCTATGCAGTAAACGCAATTATAACCGATTTTTCCAACGAGATAAGGGACTGGTCATAATTTATCAGGGGGGTGGGGAGGTGTAATTCGAAATTTTAAGGAATGGTATTTTGTCACCCTCTCTCTCTTGCTCGTGTCAGTAAAAATGTACCTACCTACAACTAAACCCTGCATTCAATAAATTTTCTAATTGTGCACTTTAAATTTTCTAATTTTCCAGTTGCGCTTTAAATCAAATACTAAAATTTATATTATACCAATAAATAGTCACATATAAAACTTTAGTTTTTTCAAACTTTTCATTCTAAGTTCAAAGAATCATTTTTTTTCAATGCAACTCAAACAAAATGTGAGAAGGCATGTATAAAACAATTCATTGAACTAAAACAGCAGACCCCCTCCCCGCCTTCATAAACTGTCTACTATTTTATGAACCCCCCTTTTTCCTGGCTAAAAAATATGTGACCCCCCACTGTTTCCACCTCCCCACTCCTCCTGCTAAATTATGACCAGTCCATAATAAAAAAATATTTCCTGTTAGAAATATTCATATCAGAGCAGTCCAGGCGCTTGTCAGAATCCATATTTACTTGGGGTAAAATTGCATAAATAGATAGAACCCTGGTGTACGTCGTATTCAATTCAGACGTAAATTTTAGATCTCAAGAGCATATTGTATGAATTTTTAGTGCAGTCAAGCATATATTCGCAGATTTGATGACTTTTTCGGACTATTTGTCAAAGTGTGCAAGACGTTTGGAGTGATTTGCCCCTCGGCTGACACTACTTGAATGTTTTCAGAGTTATGGTGCTGTTCTAGATCTGTTATCTCTCATATCATCAACTTGGGGCTTTTGTTGAGGAAATTAGGATTGAATCTTTTTAAGCCACAAGTCTTCTTAACTCATTAATTGAACTTTCAATTTATTTGCTCCGAGTTGTCCCAAGAGTGAACAACAGAAAGAAGAGCTTTGGAATGCTAATAGCTTTATTGTCAAGTTTTGACGCACAAATTGTTTTGTCGTTATATATACCACATGCTCTCAAGGGATTGGTGAGATTGGTGGGATTGCGTAGGACGCAGCTCAACTTGATCTACACACGTAAAAACGCTCAAGTTGTTACAAGTCTGCAAACAAGTTTTTACAAATCTGTTCACAAGCTGTCAACAAGTTGTGTTCGCACCGTTTGTTCCCAGTTGTTGTAACAAGTTTGGAACAAGCTGTTAATTAATTGTAACAAGCTTGATGGCATTATCAGACTTGTTACAAGGTCAGTGTTCTAACAAGTCTGATACAGTCATGATATATAACAAGAATGTTACAAGGTTGAAGACACAAAGTTGTAACAACATTGTTAATTTGTTATATCATGAATGTATCGGACTTGTTGGAACAACCTTGCAACATGCCTGATATAAATATCAACAAGATTGTTACAAATTGTTAACAGCTTGTTCCAAACTTGTTGACAACTTGGGACAAGCAGTGCGAACACAACTTGTTAGCAGACTTGCTAAAAGATGTGAGATTTTTACGCGTGTAGTCGAAAGCTTACTAAGGGCTCCTCTGGCAGCCACCTTATGACTAATGTCTGATCACGGAGCACAGCTACGGCGGAAGGACCAGTTAGGGGACTAATCCCAACCCATCCTGCAACAATCCCAACCCATTCAGTCAAGGGACTAATCCCAACCCATCCTGCAACATTCCCTGTGGGAAGAGACTGGTGTACCCGGAGAAAACTCACGACTTTCGGTACAGCGTTGGCTAACTCTTTTCACATAAAGGCCCGTTTATACACGGGCGATTTTTGCTGCGATTTTAGTTGCGATTTTCTCCTTTTGGAGGATGTGAAGGAGTAGATTACTTAATGATGTTGTTATTAGGCTTCTACAGATTATGCTCGGCAACTTTTTGCATTTGGAGCAACTTTTTATGATATCAGCAACCGTTCAAGCAACTTCCACCAGGAAATGCATAATTTTTGGAAATTTCTGACAATATAGACCGTGTTGCTAATTTTATTTATAGAAAGATAATGAAATGCTTGATAGCCTTGAATCCCCTGACCCATATTCTCTTCAAGCTCTTTTTCTTGGTCATAATTATGAAAGAATAGCACGACAAGGCTCGAAAATATTTTCCTTACCCTTGGCCATTTGACCAGGGGCGCACATTCAAAAAAAATTTGGGGGGGTGTCCTATTTTCCGGGACCGACTTTTGTAGTATTTGTGTTTGATAAGAAAAGCCAACTATTTTAAGGTGTGCACAGTACTCGTGAACCAGTGAAAGTTCGGTTTAATTAATGTCACAGTCTTGTTATAAATACAATTAATATAAAATTTAAGAGTTGGATGTATGGTACAGGGCCGTAGGAAACTCTTTTCGATTTGGGGGGGGGGGGGCTGAAAGCGATGGCCGAGGCCCAAGGAAATTTTTAAATTTAGAGTCTCTGCAATGCCATCTCCTGGACTTTGGGGAAGATTTAACAGAATTCTGATAGTCAGAAAAAAGCGTTTTAGTATGTCGAAATTTGCAATTTAGTAGTACTAAATGACCGAAGGCGTATTTATTAACTATTATATGTTGAATAAGTTGCAGGAAAGTGTGGGTAATACCATGGATTTTAAAATAACATGTACTTTATTATCCATGGTAATACCTTCATTCTTTGCAGTTTGTCACAGATTAAATGATAAAGGTCTGCATGACATGCTACGGCCCTGTGGTTATTGCACAAAGTCGAGTAACTATGTAAAAAGATAGAATACAGGGGTGTCAAAAAGTAGACCGTTAGAAATTAACCTGTTGTTCTAATTAGCCACAAGCCCACAGTATTATTAAAGAATAGTACATTATTAAAGTCAAGAGCTCAACTATAGACAATAATGGTTCAAAATAAATATATAGTGCGTGCCCACATGATATTTAACTAAGAGTATTAAATATCTGACAACTCAAATTGTTTAGAAAGTTATAGCAATTAGCAATAGATTTCAGGCAGTGAAATCAGTTTTTAATTAGTTCACCTGCACAGCTTATTTGATCGAAAAATGACAATCGGAATTACTTCACACAAATAAGGCGTTCTGTTTTGGCAGCTCGGCCCAACGATCAACAACAGTGTCTGGGTCCATTATAGTGTATCCGTGAGATCCTTTTCACATCCAAGAGTGATTAGATCCCTTTATAGCCTTCTTTCTTTCATCATTGAACGAATGGCAGTCTTAATCAATTTAAGCTTCGAACTCGAAAAGCTGCGTGTTCACTCGATGCGGATGTAATCGGTTATCTATGTGTATAAATGCTATATACTGCCACATACCACGGTACGTAACCTCGCTTCGATTTATTAGAACGTAGACTCCTCCAAAATTGCGGATGGACTCATAGACAGGGATAGTATTCCAAGAGTTTAAATAAACGTTTAGTTTTTCAGAACTTCTGCTCTAAACGTTCGGGGAGCCAAAATTTTTTATGGATTTTGAGTGCGAGCGCCGAAGGCGCGAGAAAAATTTTGAATTTCTAGATTCATTAGAACGCTATTTCACGTATTTTAGGATGAGGTTGGAAGAAAAGTTACAACCACAAAAAGTCGCCTAATTTTGTTAGATTCCATTTCCAAAATGTCCACCTATTTCTTTTTTCGACACAAAATGATGTCTTTCAGATTTTAGCCGGACCGACTTTTTTCGTCCCATACAGGATTCTGGACCGACTTTTTAGATATATTTCACAAAACATGGGGGGGGGTGTCACACCCCCCACACACCCCCTAATGTGCGCCCCTGCATTTGACAAACTTTTTAGCTTACCATTACTTCTACAGTTTGGGAGATCCTATGGCAGTCTGCTTGACATATTTGCAAACATCCATAACAACCCCCATAACTGCAAGTTACATTAATTTGCTAAATGCTGGCAGCGCAGACCAGTTTGCAAGCTCAGTTTATGACTGTTTATCAAACCCAACAATGGTTCAGTTTGAAAGTATCATGAAAGTTCATGTGCCTAATAGTAATACACTATTATAAATACATAATAGAGTCTAGAGATTATTCATATAGCTGCAGTATGTTATTCTATTATAAATCTTAACTGATTTTATAGCTTTTTAGCTATTAAGTTGTTGTAAGACTTTATAGTTATCAGAACTATAGTTAGTTATGAACTGTTATTATTGTATTTCTCTACAGTGTTTAATATTCGGTCATATCTTGCGTTGCACCCACTCGTTTACGAGAAACTTTTGACATTTTAGAAGCAACTTTTTTTCTATTTTCGAGCAACTTTTGAGCAACTTTTTCAATTTTCGAGCAACTTTTGAGCAACTTATTCAATTTTCGAGCAACCTTTGAGCATTTTTAGAGCACAACTTCAGCATTTTCGTAGCATAATCTGTAGAAGCCTACTGCGGGTTGGGGGGGGGGGCGACGTTTCTGTCATGCACGATTCACTCGGCTATGTCGGCATGCATGTTCGTGTTGCGATATATTTCTTCCGCCACCTTCTGGATGTATGGATTTTTTCAGAACCTTTTTACTTGTATGGATTTTTTCTGTTCTCCCCCCCCCCACTTTTCTAATGGTCCGTCCCTTAAATTAACTAGGTACGTTTCTTTCCTTATGTATCCTTTGCTACATTATCAATCTAAACAAAATGGTACTGTCGGAATCGTCGAATGGCGTCAAAAATGGCCCATATACGCTAAAGCACATGCAGTTCCACTGTTTCCTATAGACATCTGGATATCGACATCTTGTCCTTTGTGTAAATTCTTATTGGCGGAGGACATCTGTTATCGACCTATTTATCGCTCTCATCAGGATCATTTCACTGCAATTTGTCCAGCCGCTCAAGAGGACTTCGCGAATGAACTATCCGCATATAAATTTCAGTTCAACTACTTTCAATGGAACGACACAGAAAACAAAATCATTTGATTTCTTGAAATATCCTTTTTTCACATTGTTATATTCGGAATTATTGGCAATACTTTGGTTAACATCTCTATACTAATAGACACCTTAATTGTCCTTTGTGTAAATTCTTGTTGGCGGAGACACCAGTTATCGACCTATTTATCGCTCTCATCATGATAATTTCATTTGCAATTTGTCCAGCCGTTCAAGAGGACTTGAACTATCCGCATATAAATTTTATTTTGCAACATGGAAAACGCAAGTCAAATTTCAACTACCTTAAATGGAACGACACAGAAAACAAAATCATTTGATTTCTTGAAATATCTTTTTTCACATTGTTATATTCGGAATTCTAGGCAATACTTTGGTTATCATCTCTATACTAATAGACGTCTTAATTGTCCTTTGTGTAAAATTCTTATTGGCGGCGCAGGACATCTGTTATCGACCTACTAGTATCGCGCTCATGATAATTTCATTTGCAATTTGTCCAGCCGTTCAAGAGGACTTTGCGAATGAATTATCCGGATATAAATTTTATTTTGCAACATGGAGAACGCAAGTCACATTTCAATTACTTTCAATGGAACGACCGCACAGAAAACGAAATCATTTGATTTCATGAAATATCCTTTTTTCATCATGAAACATCTGCTTCCTCTTTCAAAGTCTTAAGATATTTTCGAAATCGACGAACTTTTTTTATTTGTTCCATCAGCGTTCTATGTTATGGAGTTGGAAATTTGCCAATTTCTGTATGGTTTATATGGGACATCGTTGGCGAGGATAATTTACTAATAAAATATCTTTGGTTTTTCTATCTTAGTTTCATTTTAAGGACTTTCATATAACTTTGGAAACTATATACAAGGTTGATATTTTCACCAACCAAACATAA